ACAATCAGAATATTGTACCTGGTGGGGAGTGCACAATGTAAACATTAAATATATGCAATTACCTATATTGTACTGTGGTACAATTATGGAGGCCCTTCATAATGCAGAGGTCAACTGCCTGCTCTGCCAATAGTTAGAAATGGCACTATAGTAAGCAGTGTTTAATAAACAGCTGTTTTTCAAAATTCTGCTGAGGTGAAATTCAGTGCAGTCATGTATCGTATCGTGGCATCTGTATCGTCTCGTGACTTTGCTGGTGATACACAGCCCTAGTTGATAGCCCCCGGGGTCCGGGGGTTATGGATGGTTAAATACACGGTCGGGCGCCGACCGATCTGGCGATCCCAGGGGGCTACCGACTCGCGGAGGGTGGTGTTCGAGAGGGCTCCTCGAGCTGAAGGGATCCCCCGAATTTGGTGGCGATCTGCCGCTGAGTTCGCAAGATAGTGACACCAGCCAACATTTTCACTTCAATAAGGAGGTCTCTTGTTCAGGCAGCAACATTCAAGCGTTGTCTTATTCGACTGTAAGTGCCCTGCGAAGTGGACTTCACATGATATTCCGCCATGATTCCAGTTCCAAGGGAACGTACCCGTTACATTCAAAGGGCATTAAAGTGCGCGAGACGGGAATTTAAATTGTATTTATTTAAAGAGGTATATTATGTCACACTTCTCTAGTAAGTTTCGTCTGTGTGTGAAGACAATAGCGCAAATCCGTGAATGAATGTTACGAAGTGAAATAAACTTCCAATTAGTGGTTAAACGGATCGTAGTTGATCCATGATCCGTACAGACCAAGCCCCACGGTTCGGCACGCATATGATCCGCGGATTAATTGCTAAATTTAACCATAGTAGAGTATAAGTTTATCATTTGTTCGTATTTACACAAGCAAGCTAATTTTAAACAATTCCAGAGAGAAAAGGCAAAAGGGAACTCGATTTGTTACTCATGCGCTGTTCTCTAAGCGCACAGCCGCACACACATGAAGCACACACCAAGGCTATTATAGTTTTGAATTTTTAAATTAGTTTTTTTTAAATATTGTTTTCAAATTTGCTATACAATTCAGTTTAGTTTTTATTAGTTTCATTAATATTGTTGTTAGTTTTAGTTTAGTTTTTATTTTGTGAACACATTTTTATTTAGTTTTTATATAGTTTAGTTTCAGTTTTAGTTTCAGTTTTAATTAAAGGTTAGCAGAATTAAAAGATCACTTCCAGAGCGCAGGCCAAAGATCTATATTTAATTTATACAGTGAACACTATGCAGTGTTATTTTCCCTAATTATTAAATTTCTGTATTTAAATACTACCAACCTTATTTTATTTATAACATATTCTGTTGTATTTATCTATGCTTGTAATTTGTGTATTTGTTCATATTTTTACTGGCTGTTCTCTTGTCTCTTTAATCATGTTTAAACTTTCTTAGTTAATCTAGTAGTATCTGATGTGGTATCAAAGAAGTACTTCACTTTAAGAGAGAGGGGATGACTAAACTTAATTCTTCATTCACAGAGTGGGACAACTCAAATTTGTGAAAAGGTTACACCATATATGCCACAATAGTAAAGATTTTGTCACCACAAAGTATTTCCATTAGCAAGTGAGGCCAGTTAGTTAAGCTGAAACTGATGTAGCTGGACTCAGCAATAAGAAAAAGTTCAAAACTCACACAGAGACGGAAACAAGAATTGGGCAAGTATGACTTCTAATGCAGCTGAGAACAGCAACGTGATGAAACCCGCTGCAATGACTTACACTTTTGGATTCATAAGAGAGTTACTGTGGTAGACAGTTCAATAATAGAAAGGTGAGCAGTTCATTATCAGGTAGGTGAGCAGAGCAAATGCAATGTGGCACATAACTCAAGTTTTTAACATGTACCTTGGTCTCCAACCCTCTACTTTGCGAGTAAATCACTCGCATATGCGACTAAATCTTACTCTGGGTGACTAAATAACGTCTAACATTAGCCATTGGCTAATAAATTCTTAGATTTTACACGCCAGTATGTGTGAGAGAGGCGTTCAACACAGATTTTCACTCGATAAACACGCTGACTGAACGCTTGAGAGTTTCGCTCTCAGTCAAGCGATCTGTACTATTTGGATGCGCTCAAAGGATCATGTCATGTACTCAATGGATGCGCAGTATGTAGCACGCAGAGCACCTGTATTTGACGTACCGTAAACTAGTGTTAAGGCGCACGACTCGCCGTCGCTTTACTGATAGCGCTGTGTTTCTCACACATGCAAAGAGAGAGAGCGAGAGTCTTGCATACCACGCTGAATCGACGCGCTACATGTAAACCATATTCTTTGTTGTATTTTCCTGTCAAAATAAAAGAGTTCATTTAGAATTATTCAGCTTTTAAGAACAAGCAGAGGATATGCCGGTTTCTCGGCAGTGGGCGGAGCTAATGCACGAACAGCTCTAGTTGGCTGGCGCTCATCTATTACCGTCCCGGTTTTGATTTCAGCAAATCAGTTCGAGCGAACGCTGACAACGTGATTAATATTCATGAACCCAGCAGATAGTAGTAGTAGTAGTATCTTTTAATAATAATTACTATTACCTATGACCAACAATATCTTAAACACCACCACCAGTCCTAAGTTCAGTTAAAATGACAAATATGCATTCATTCATGGTTACCAAGTTTTAGCTCTAATCACTAGTTCTATCATTAAATAGTGATTATCATAATATCATAATATAATGCTTGATTGGCTGAAGTTAAGAGTCCACATTCAGTTATTTAAGAAGCTGTTCCATTTTACAAAGATAAGCTGATTGGGTGGAATCGTGTGTGTGTGTGTG